GTCCATACTAATGTCGGCTTTTAATTTTATGGGGGTCGCGGGTCACTTACTTTTTATAAAAAGGGGTCGCCACTCGAAAAAGGTTGGGAACCACTGGTCTACACAATAACTCAAACCTGCTAACTATAGAGAAAACAATGCTACATTTAGCTTTATTAACAACCGACTGTAGATAAACGTCGTTACTATTAACTGTTCACACCTTAAAGCTATCAGCCCGTGAGAGGGGGTGACACCAACTGCAAAATTTACAGAGGCAAAAAAGGTTTGTTGAATTTGTGTGTGAGTGGCCTATACTTTTTTTCTTTAGTGGAGGGGGGGGGGGGGGTGATATCATGAGGTGCCGCACCTGGTGACAACCGACCTAACAACGCCACTGCTAGTTATAAACCTACTGTTCGACTACAGTTAACGTGCATTGGAAGTATCTTGAGTCGTGTTATCTACCGCCTTTTTGTATAATTGTGACGTAATACAATGTAGTTTTAGTAACTTTTACTTGTAATCGTGTTATTTGTTCATTTTCTGAAAATGTATCTTATACGAAACAATGTTTTCCAATATGATTAACTTATCTGCGTCAATAGTAATTTTTAGTATTGAGATAAATAAGTTAAACATATATTATTGATTACTTTTTTAAAAATTTGTATTTATTATAAACTTTTTGCTGTTTTATTAATTTTATTTTGTTAACAGAAATATTATATTAATATAACATTGTGCAAAATATAATACTTAAACACCATAATAAATAGTATTGGCTTAAAATAAACGGATCAAAGTAATCTGCAGTATTCAGCGTTTTTGTTTATGTAAGAATTGATTTCATAGAAAGACATAGAAGAATAAATTTAATTGTGAATGTGTGGCTCGACATTTTGATCAAGAATTTGGTGCATAACAAGTTGACACTCAAAGCTTAACTGTGTTGGAGGAAATCCCTTTCAACATAACAATAAGGAAGAAAAAGAAGAACAAATCTGAATTGGTTTTTATAAACTTTATTTAATTTAAAATATCTATTTTTGTGTGGGTTTTTTTTTGTTCAAATAAAGTAACTCAATTTTTGCTTACTTTAATCTATCCTTATGCTTTTTAATCTAATTAAAGAGGAGCTTATAAAAAATTAATTACAATTCTAAATAAGAAGGAATATAGTAGATCATCTACTAGCGATTCGCACAGTCAACTAGCCGTCTATAGAAAACTGCTGATCACGACTAGATGGTTGCTATCCTAAAAGTCATCCACTGTATATAGAGGGGAAGGTGTTTGTCTCTTAGTTATCGATACCTATTGGTGGAGTTTTAAAGCCTATATTTTATTCGTTTGTGGTTTCGCCCTAATTAAGAATGAGTAACCAAAAACTAAAAACAGGAAGAAAAAAAATAATCAAATGTGCTTTTTAAAAGGAAGCACTGGTAACAAAAATGTGCAGTCAATCACATAAGAGACCAATGATGTTATTTTAATTATTTTTTTAGATCGAAATATAACAAATATTTAAAAAGTATTTTAATACGCTTTACAATACTCAAAGCAAAAAAAACAATAACAAAAAATCTACACATTTTATCGACATATAATAGTAATTTTGTTTTATTAATATAAAAAAAATGCAATGCACTCCACTCCATATCCTCCGAACCAAATAACGTCATATAAAGCCACAACCCGCATATGAACTGGTACCAACTACCTACCATTCCCCCCCGGCCCACCCAAATTCCCACCAATCGTTAACAGGCCCTAGCCCTAGCCCTAGCCCTAGCCCTAGCCCTAGCCCTAGCCCTAGCCCTAGCCCTAGCCCTAACCCTAGCCCTAGCCCTAGCCCTAGCCCTAGCCCTAGCCCTAGCCCTAGCCCTAGCCCTAGCCCTAGCCCTAGCCCTAGCCCTAGCCCTAGCACTAGCCCTAGCCCTAGCCCTAGCCCTAACCCTAACCCTAACCCTAACCCTAACACCAACCAGTCCATCCATGTCTTCACCAGTACAAGTTGTGTTAAGATAATGTTTCTCTAGCAGTAGTATATTAGGTCACTTTTGATTATTATTTTTGGCGGAGGTGGGGAGGGTGAGGAACAATGACATATAGTAAAATACTCGGGAGCAGGATGCGCGGGTGGCGCAAAGACATATAGCAAAATACTACGCCAGCTGCCGCAGCCTGGCGCATCGGGAGGGTAAGGGTGGGTGAGCAGGATGTGGGGGTGGCGCAAAGACATATAGTAAAATACTACGCCAACTGGGGTTGGCGGAGGTGGTGGGGAAGTAGGTCACCTTTTGGTGACCTTGTGACGTAATTAGTAACATTATGACGTAATTAGTGACTTTGTGATGTAATCATTGACCTAGTTACGTAATTTTAATGCGTTTTTTAATGAGTTTTAATGAGTTTTTAAATTTTTAATCAATTTTTATTGACTAGTTACGTAATTTGATTATTTGTTTACTTTTTAATTAATTTTTATTGACCTAGTTACGTAATTGGATTTTAATGAGTTTGAATTTAATTTTGTAATTTTAATTAATTTTTATTAACGAGTTACGTAATTTGATTATTTGTTTGATTTTAAATTGTTTACTTTGTTTGTTTACTTGTTGTTTATTTGTTTATATTGTGTAATTTTTATTCAATAGTTACGTAATGTGATTTTAATTATTTTTATTTTGTTTATTTTTAATTTTATTTTATTTTATAATTAGTTAAATTATTATTAACTAGTTACGTAATTTGATTTTAATTACTTTGTTTATTTATTTATTTAATATATTTCTTTTCTTTGATGTTTAATTTGTTGGTTTGTTTGAATGTATGTATGTTTAAATAAAAGACTAACACTAGCCGTGTACTTTGTGAATAACATCCATTAAAGATAACGATCAGGCGACAGCTGTTACGTATCGATCCGCGATCCTTTGTTGACACACGCTGAGCGGTTTTTAATGGGCTTTATATTGATCGCAGCCGCTGGGCCATCAAATGGTGTCCCATATAATTAAATTGGTTATGCTTCACCGCTTTTATGCGTTGTTCGCCGACCCGATCCCACCGGGGGGTATGGTAATTAACGCAAAGCCAGCGTTAACTGTGGGAACATCTGTTACCATGACACGCGCATCGTAGTGATTAATGGGTATTATATTGATCCAACCCACGGGACATCACAGCATGATGTCCCGCCTAATTACATTTATTATTATGCATCAGTGATTTTTCCCCTGGTTGGGTCCTGTCCTTTCCACTAACAGTTATACGGACAGTATCATAGGTTTTTGGTTTTCACCGAGGCAATGTTTTGTTGTTGGTTGGTGTAGAGTTTATATCAGGGTCGGTGAAGTTTTCACCAAGGCAGGTTACAAAGTTGATACAGGCATGTTTTGGAAGTGTTAGGGGTCGAGTCTAGAGTGGGAAGGATTTTGTTTTCACCGAGTGATGTTGGTACACAGATGTTTTGGAGTTGGTAGGTTTCAAACTACCGTCGGTGAAGTTTTCACCGAGGTGTGTTTCAAAGTTGCTACATGTATGTTTTGGAAGTGTTAGGGGCAGAGTTCATACTAGGGTCGGGGGAGTTTTGTTAACACTGAGGCATGTTGGTGCATACATGTTCTTGGAATTGTTGTGGGTAGAATGTATACTAGGGTCGGTGAAGTTTTCAACGAGGCAAGATTATTTGTCTTTACAAGTTCGCTTTGTGATTGTGTGTGTGTGTTTGAGTGTGAGTGAGTGTGTGTGTGTGTGTGTGTGTGTGTGTGTGTGTGTGTGTGTGTGTGTGAGTTCATACCAGGGTCAGTGAAGTTTTCAACAAGACAGGTTTCAAAGTTGTTACATGTATGTTTTGGAAGGGGTTGGTGGATGGTTTTTTATACTAGAGTCGGTGAAATTTTCAACGATGCAATATTATTTGTCTTTACAAGTTCGCTTTGTACTTGTGTGTGTGTGTGTGTGTGTGTGTGTGTGTGTGTGAGAGAGCTTTTTGGTTTGAGTGAAAAAGTTTGGTTTGCGTTGTATAACAGACACCGATGTTTTGACCGCGTAAGACTTCAAAGTTGGATGGGAAAGTTGTCACACCTTAGTAAGGTGGTGGTAAGGTGGTAAGGTGGTGGTAAGGTGGTGGTAAGGTGGTGGTAAGGTGGTAAGGTGGTGGTAAGGTGGTGGTAAGGATCACAAAAGATCATTTAAATGAATATAAAAATTTTTATTCACTTAAAACAACTCCTGTGTGTGTGTGTGTGTGTGTGTGTGTGTGTGTGTGTGTGTGTGTGTGAATGTGCAGCCTGTACAAAAGGACAGTCTGGATAATAGCGTCGATGTTCTTCTTCTACCACATCACCCATTTCCCAACCTCTCAACGTATTCAAACAGAAAATACACTTGACAAGGTCGCCAGGTCCAATGAAGATAAAACCATTTTTAGCCAAACTGATAGGGTCGACCGGGTAGACGTCGGACCAACACCCTGAAAATGTTTGCAACCTTTCCTCCTCATCATGGAACCTGATGTCACTGTCCCTGTCAGAAGCTTGGTTGGATGGTTGTGGTGTCTCATCAAGGGGTTCAATAAAGGTTCCACCTATAGGTCGCTGTACAAACACTCTCTCATAACCTAGATTCATCTCCCCTTGATTAGTCTCATGAAAGGTACTGATCATCTGTACAGGATACACTCTCACTTCATCTGGTCCAATATCAAGACCAGTTTCCGTTTGATCCGACATTCCCGTGCTCTCACTGGAATCCCATCCACAGCACTGAAGACAAAAACATTCACCGGACATGGTATAGGGTTCTTATACGGCGGTGTTTATAGTATTCCCTGAATACCACGCCTGGGTGGGCTACCGATCAATGCCGTAAAGAGCTGTTTCCAACTCGGATCCAGTATTTTAAATGGTTGATTTTGATTTCAGTCATGCCTCTTATACAGGATACCGAGTTACATAACTTTCAGGGACAAGTAACAAAACAATAACTCACATCAAAAATTTAAAAAAGACCGTTTATATCATAAGTTTTTATTGAATAAAAACAACCCCATCAGCATACCGTCATGGTTCTGTCTTATTTACATATTTACATTAAAGTCTCGTTAAAGTCATGGTTGGTAAACTAAAGGTTCTTATATGTCTAGGGGAGATGTTGTGACATTGTCTGCGTCTACTCGTCTTTTAATGTAAAAGTAAGAAAGTGAGTTTCTGTGTTGGGTGTAAGTATATATTCCCGTGTTGTATGCTCTGAACCCTGTGTTTGTCCCACCACTTGGTTCCTTTGTTGTGAGGACCTGCATGAAAGATTCTTTGCCTAATGTGTTGTGATTTTTAGATAATCCCTTGGTTGATGTTTTATTAAACTCGCCAAAACAGTGGTACGTCTTACTACATAAAGATACCATCCCATCCCCTTCATATTCTAATTTAAACAACCCCGGTGTTCTTTTTTCATAAATTTTCCTAGCCCTACACCCCAGACAATGACTATCTACCGTGCCTTTGCCGCTTATAAATTGTGGTCTATGTGAGTCGCATACTTCTGAGGGGAACCATTTGTCGTAAATGTCAAAAAACTCGTGTTCTAGTCCCGGTCTAACGGCTTTTAACAAGTCATCGGTACTTAAGGCTAAGTATAAACTGTCCGTGTCCATCTCACATAGCTGAAAGTCGGTTCTATCTATATATTTGTCTATAAAGTCATAATAAAATTCTAACATTCTAAGTTTCGCGTACTGATAAACGAAAAAGCCTATCTGAAGAGGGAGATCCCAAACTATCTTCTTTTTTAACGTTTCTACTTCGTAAACAGCGTCGGTAAGTTTTGTCATTTTTTTAAATCGTGGATTATTAATACAATCCCCTATATCCCTATCACTACAGTAGGTCATGTCCGCATGTCGTGTTTTATCCGTCAAAGTTTTACCGTATGCCGCGTTTCCTAACAATTTCATTGTTTCACTAGTTATTGCGTATTTGTCGTCTATGTCCCCCTTTCTTCGCGCGTCTGAAACTGTATCCCCAAATGTCTTAAAACATGCAACCGGATTATATTCAACGACTTGATAAATTTTAGTTACCACCAACCCATGATTTAAATACCACTTTAAAAGGGGGGTCGCTAATAAAATTTTCTCCCCTGTAAAGCTACCGATTAAAGTCCGTCTACCGCTAGTTAATAAGTTGTTATCGATCGCGTATTGTCTCATAAAAGGTCCGATGTCATCCCGCGTAACGTCCGTATTTTTAAAAATAGGTGTCATCTCACTAAAATGTGCTCTTAAACTATCCGGTACTTTAATGTCACATTCTATCAGTCCAAAACACGAGTCGTCTAAAACAGAATCGATGATCTGTTTTTCAGTCAGGGGCCATTTCTTACCATAGGTCGGTGTCGGTGTTTTTTGTGATTTGTCAATAGAGTTTAAATAGTCTTTAATAGTTGGGTTCATTTTTTTCTGGTTCCCCCACTCACATTCCCACATTTCTACGACTTTAACGTCAACAGTCTCGGTAAGGTACTTCGTAATTTCGTTTGTCTTTTTAAATAACTCTGTCAAGGGTCTGTTACTAATAGGATTTACTGTTCGGTCTTTGGTTAAGGGGCAGTCGGGGTGTCCATGAAAGAGGCAGCCATGGAACTGATAAACGGTTCGACTGTTCGCGTCCCACCCGTCTACTCTTATATGGCGTGATCCTAAGCTAACTTCACCCCCGTTAAATGCCGTTTTTAAAGTTACCCCCTTTGTTTTTGAAACCCACGATAACCACTGAAAGGCCTGTTCCCCATAATGATTCGTTTTACGCGGTCTAAACCCCTCCTCACTATTTCTAATAATCGGAAAGCCCGTCGGCATTTTTTGCATTAAAGACCATAAATAAAGCGCGTTCGCATCGTACCCCTTAATTGCCTGTACCACCTTTTTACTATTCCCCCTAATGAACGTTTCACCCTTTTCGTGATGTCTATGAAAAATAATGGAGGGGCCCCCTACGATATTATTTCGGATTGTTTTATGTAACTCTGATTCGCGCTCGGAACACAAAGAAAAAGAAACGTTTTCGGGAAGTGTTTTGAATAAGTATTTTAAGGTTACCCCCGGGACAGAAATCGCGTCTTTAAAAATATCAACCCCTAAATTTTTGTAAAAATTAGTTTGCTGCTCGAGCGCTTCGATAAACGGTTTTACATCGAGATTGTTATACCAAATAAGATAATCTTTAAAAGTTTGCATCCCCTTCTCTACCCAAATTTGGCTACACATCGCGTACTCCTCGTCTGAAATGTTACAATTTTTTAATGATGAAAAAAAGGCCGAATGCGGAGGTAAAGACGTTTCATCTAAGACGGCTAAATTTTTGACATATTCGTACGGAAAAAATCCCTTGGTCTCTTTAACATTATATGCGGCGAGGTATTTACTATAGCTAAACCCTGGTGCTAGATAATTAACTATATCTAAAAACTTTAATTTATTTGTTGATATACACATAAAATTATTATTTCTTTTAACTACATATTTAAACGGTGTTTGTTTATCTTCTACGTCGTCTTCATCATCGTTACAACTAGCTCTAGGTCCCTCCTCTAACCCCTCTTCTGTGTTTGAATAAGCTAAAAAGTACTGAATAAAATACGGCTTAACGAGATTTATATCATATTTTCCTGAATTAAACCCTATAACCGGCATTTGTCGCAAATACTCATCTAATCTACCGCTAAGAAAGCTATCAAACCCTTTGTCGTTCGACTTATTATCACTACCCCTAGCTTTAGGTGGAAATAACTTCCTGATTTGCTTAAAAACAGGCTCGAACTGTTTTCTCAAAATTCCATAAGCTGCCTCAGCGATTATGTGGAGTCTGTCAATAACTCTAGTCACTAATTCTCGAGGGTCACCAGTCGAAATAAAACAGATGGGTTCGACGAACCCATCTACGTTTGAGGCGACAGAGCAAGACAAAGGCACGTGTTTGGCTACGCTTGTTGTAACTCTACCTAACGTGGGTAACTCGGTATGGTCGAAATAGCATTCGAAATCGTAAGTTGCTCGGAAGGGATAAACAAAGTTACTATTTACAACTACCCCATAGGACGCTAAAAACTCCCAGATTGTTTGCTGTGTGTGATAAACCCCTCCCTTATACCTATCAACGGGTTTCCCCCCATTACACCCTTTCACGTGTCTGTTCAATTGTTGAACGGTGGGCCATAATTTGTTACACACAGAACACGCGAAAGAGTGACCCGCCCCACCAATATTATTAATGTACATAAACTGATTTTGAAAAAATAAAAGATACACAGTCTCCCTAAACCTATCATTACTTCTAAGTTTCGGGGAAAGGATCTGGTTTTCGTTAAATTCAAAAATCTCAATATTTACACTAAAACAAGACTCTAAGAGGGGAATTTCGACCAACCTAACCCCGCTAAAATTATCCAAGGTCCCGAGACCTTGGTGCGCTTGCCACTGTTTCGCGAGTTTTAATGTTGGCTTTCTAAGATTTATTATGGAAGCTCCTAAATGTCTGGCTAAACATCTAAAAAAGGAGAAGTTGTCTGTGTAGGGTTTGGAATTTGAATCCTGTTGCAACATGTTAATGGCGTGATTATGTTTAATAAAGTCAGGAATGTCTGTAAGAAGGGATGTGGGTGAAGCTTTGTCTGTGGTCGGGTGTAAGTCTACTGCATCTCCCCTAAGCTCGTCTACAGGAAAAATAGTGGTGTGTGAATTAATGGTACTGTCATTGTTAGTCTTTACGCGTTTGTTGTTTGTTATGTCGTCATACATCGTATGTCGTTTTAAGGTGGTAGTGTTGGTCGCGGTACGAGCTGTTTGGCTCGCTGATGGGGGTTGGGCAGTATGTGTGTCGGTCACTAATGTGGGTTGGTGTGTTTGTCTGTTGGTTGCTGATGGGGTGTCGGTCGGTGATGTTTGGTTGTTGTGTGCTTTCGTAAAGTGTCTTGTCAAATTGTCAAGTCGTGTAAATACTTTCCCGCATGATGTGCAGGGATGTCTTTGTCGTCCATGTGCAGAGTCTTGGTGCCTTGACAAGTGATGTTTAAGCGTGAATACCCGCTCGCAGATCTCGCATGTGAAACGCCTTATGGCTGGGTGGGTGGTAGACTGGTCGGCTTCCATTATTGATGAAGTGTGTAGTAGTCGGATGCTTGGGTAGGTCGCTGGCTGTAGAATAAAAATAAATACATAAAATAAAAATCATAAAATAAAAAACATACTTAAAACAAAATTGAAAATTGAAACGTACCTCTGGGTTTGAACGTCTAAGCTGAACGTGTAGTTAACTGTATGTGGAGATCCGAAGTGGTGTAGTTGGATGTAGTTGGATCTTTGGTTCAGTGGATGCCTCAGGGATGGGTAGGTAGCTCACTGGTTGCCTTGTTGGGTCGGTTGTACACTAAAAAGGAATACAGTTGCCTGCTTATTTAGATACATATTTATTTAAAGGTTATTTTAATTGGTTAGTTTCCTTAAAACAATAACCTTACAATAACAATATTAACCTTACCTCGGTGTGCGATACAAAATTAAATACATGTGACTACTTATTTAATAAGTTTTGATTTTAATAGGGTTAGCACCCTTAACACAAAAGTAATATTAACCTTACCTTTAATAGAATAAACACGCACAAAAGATGTGGTCCGTGGAGGGTTAGGTGGATGTGATGGTTGATAAAGCTGGCGTGGGTTAGTCTCAGGAGTCAACAGAGGTCGCAGGCTGGATAAGTCGCGGTGAAGCTTGATTTGAAGTCCGAAGTCGAAGTGTTTAGAACACAATTTTCGCGGTCATTTATACGATTGCTCAGCGTAATTACACCACCAGCTGTTACACAGCAGCTGTTGCATAATGACCTACGTGGTAACAGATGTTCCCACACTTAACGCGGAGAGGCACTTAATGTACGTCGTTAATTACCATAACCCGTCAACCGAGCAGGGAAAAAAGCCATTAATCATCATGACCTATCAAACCGAGCGGGGAAAAATCACTGATGCATAATAATAAATGTAATTAGGCGGGACATCATGCTGTGATGTCCCGTGGGTTGGATCAATATAATACCCATTAATCACTACGATGCGCGTGTCATGGTAACAGATGTTCCCACAGTTAACGCTGGCTTTGCGTTAATTACCATACCCCCCGGTGGGATCGGGTCGGCGAACAACGCATAAAAGCGGTGAAGCATAACCAATTTAATTATATGGGACACCATTTGATGGCCCAGCGGCTGCGATCAATATAAAGCCCATTAAAAACCGCTCAGCGTGTGTCAACAAAGGATCGCGGATCGATACGTAACAGCTGTCGCCTGATCGTTATCTTTAATGGATGTTATTCACAAAGTACACGGCTAGTGTTAGTCTTTTATTTAAACATACATACATTCAAACAAACCAACAAATTAAACATCAAAGAAAAGAAATATATTAAATAAATAAATAAACAAAGTAATTAAAATCAAATTACGTAACTAGTTAATAATAATTTAACTAATTATAAAATAAAATAAAATTAAAAATAAACAAAATAAAAATAATTAAAATCACATTACGTAACTATTGAATAAAAATTACACAATATAAACAAATAAACAACAAGTAAACAAACAAAGTAAACAATTTAAAATCAAACAAATAATCAAATTACGTAACTCGTTAATAAAAATTAATTAAAATTACAAAATTAAATTCAAACTCATTAAAATCCAATTACGTAACTAGGTCAATAAAAATTAATTAAAAAGTAAACAAATAATCAAATTACGTAACTAGTCAATAAAAATTGATTAAAAATTTAAAAACTCATTAAAACTCATTAAAAAACGCATTAAAATTACGTAACTAGGTCAATGATTACATCACAAAGTCACTAATTACGTCATAATGTTACTAATTACGTCACAAGGTCACCAAAAGGTGACCTACTTCCCCACCACCTCCGCCAACCCCAGTTGGCGTAGTATTTTACTATATGTCTTTGCGCCACCCCCACATCCTGCTCACCCACCCTTACCCTCCCGATGCGCCAGGCTGCGGCAGCTGGCGTAGTATTTTGCTATATGTCTTTGCGCCACCCGCGCATCCTGCTCCCGAGTATTTTACTATATGTCATTGTTCCTCACCCTCCCCACCTCCGCCAAAAATAATAATCAAAAGTGACCTAATATACTACTTCTAGCTCTAACTCTAGCCCAAGGCCTAACCCTTGCCCTAAATATTTTTATTATCTTTTTTTTCGGAGGCGTGTTTAACATTTTGCGTGGCTTATCTCTACAAGATCTTATACATTTTTCAATCCATTTGTATATATCTAACTTACAAGACACTGTATCCCACAGCGTATTAATTTATTCAGTCCATATGGCCTTCATAAACTATGCCCCACTAAACACATTAAAACATCATCATAGTTCAGCTCTACTCCTACGAAGAAAGTTTACTGAACCATGAATAGTCATTGTAACAAAAAAAGAAGACACAAAAAACGTGTAGGTGTTAAGGTTTTCTGTTCTTGGCACAGACCATTGACCCTAATAGTTGAAATATAATATCTCACACCAAGTCTGGTATTTGAGCTAGGAATTATATTTGTGCAATCAGATGTAACGTTAGGGTAATAACTTTAGGTTCCTCAAGGTGAACGTTACGCGCAGTGATTTCAGTATCAATGTCATTGTCTACGCCTACGACATGGACATGGACACGGGCATGGGCATGGGCATGGGCATGGACATGGACATGGACATGGACATGGACATGGACATAGACATAGACGTAGACGTAGACGTAGACGTAGACGTAGACGTAGACGTAGACGTAGACGTAGACGTAGACGTAGACGTAGACGTAGACGTAGACGTAGACGTAGACGTAGACGTAGACGTAGACGTAGACGTAGACGTAGACGTAGACGTAGACGTAGACGTAGACGTAGACGTAGACGTAGACGTAGACGTAGACGTAGACGTAGACGTAGACGTAGACGTAGACGTAGACGTAGACGTAGACATAGACGTAGACATAGACGTAGACATAGACATAGACATAGACATAGACATAGACATAGACATAGACATAGACATAGACATAGACATAGACATAGACATAGACATAGACATAGACATAGACATAGACATAGACATAGACATAGACACAGACATAGACACAGACACAGACACAGACACAGACACAGACACAGACACAGACACAGACACAGACACAGACACAGACACAGACACAGACATAGATATAGATAAAGACATAGACATAGACATAGACATAGATATAGATATAGACATAGACATAGACATAGACATAGACATAGACATAGACATAGACATAGACATAGACATAGACATAGACATAGACATAGACATAGACACAGACACAGACACAGACACAGACACAGACACAGACACAGACACAGACACAGACACAGAAACAGACACAGACATAGATATAGATAAAGACATAGACATAGACATAGACATAGATATAGATATAGACATAGACATAGACATAGACATAGACATAGACATAGACATAGACATAGACATAGACATAGACATAGACATAGACATAGACATAGACATAGACATAGACATAGACATAGACATAGACATAGACATAGACATAGACATAGATATAGACATAGATATAGATATAGATATAGATATAGATATAGATATAGATATAGATATATATATAGATATAGATATAGATATAGATATAGATATAGATATAGATATAGATATAGATATAGATATAGATATAGATATAGATATAGATATAGATATAGATATAGATATAGATATAGATATAGATATAGATATAGATATAGATATAGATATAGATATAGATATAGATATAGATATAGATATAGATATAGATATAGATATAGATATAGATATAGATATAGATATAGATATAGATATAGATATAGATATAGATATAGATATAGATATAGATATAGATATAGATATAGATATAGATATAGATATAGATATAGATATAGATATAGATATAGATATAGATATAGATATAGATATAGATATAGATATAGATATAGATATAGATATAGATATAGATATAGATATAGATATAGATATAGATATAGATATAGATATAGATATAGATATAGATATAGATATAGATATAGATATAGATATAGATATAGATATAGATATAGATATAGATATAGATATAGATATAGATATAGATATAGATATAGATATAGATATAGATATAGATATAGATATAGATATAGATATAGATATAGATATAGATATAGATATAGATATAGATATAGATATAGATATAGATATAGATATAGATATAGATATAGATATAGATATAGATATAGATATAGATATAGATATAGATATAGATATAGATATAGATATGGATATGGATATGGACATGGACATGGACATGGACATGGACATGGACATGGACATGGACATGGACAAGGACATGGACATGGACATTGACATGGACATGGACATGGACATTGAGCCCTTAGCACCGGTGATTTGAAGAACACAAAGACCATTTTTTATTGGTCAATAATAGATATGTGTAACATTTTGTAGATGTTCCTTGAAGTAGCACTACAGTAAGCGAGTGGTTCGACACATTCCTTGAAAGGTGCTCAGTCATACAAATACCAAACCGGATAAGAATAGCTTTAAAATCTTTATGGGCATGTGATACAGATACGTCTAGCTTTTGCACAGAGCCTGTTCAAGAGGAAATGGTGCCCACTGATAAAAGTATATAGCATTAACTATATAGGTACTATTGTCAACGACACGGGTACTCATGGCCAATGCATAAACATAAAAGCTTGCTGTACCTTGCTGTCATATTTATAATGTCCTATGCATGTTACTACGAGATTACAAAGCGGATTTTCACAGTAAACAAACATTTAAGAATAAAACTGTGAATATGAAAATTTGATGGAACTGTCCATCCTATTGTTTACGTGCATATTTCTAGAATGTGTACCTCATTAGTAACAACACTGCATACACATAGCTGAACACAATAGACAAGATGTGACAATTATGAATTTTGTTTTCAAAGATTTTGCATCGTGTGACACTACTAAGGGTGACTTTTGTCCCCCCCCCCCCCTTCTCTCCATATCCTCCGAAACAAATAAAGTCACATAAAGCCCCATCCCGCCTATAAACTGGTTCCAACTACCTACCATTCCCCCACCCCAAACCCCAACCAATCGTTAATTAGAATTATTATATAACGCCTCCGTTGTTTTTCTCTTTTAAGAATGTACACTAGCAGATTCCACCCACGCCTTACTTCAAGGTTGGTAAATCACAAGGTACGGTGAAGGCGCGTCGCCGCGCATGCGTATTGGCCTCTTTGCACTTTGAATGAATGAATGAATGGGTATAAAAGTAAGTGACGATTCATTCAAGTCACAGACCCAACTTACGTTTGTAAAACAAGTAGTTTTATCACATTGTCATTCAACTCTCTGTTAGTAAAGTAAGTATCTTTACATTTTTCATTTTTTTTTTAATTATGATAGTTGTGAGAGCATGCTTTCTTTAAGGTAGTTCACACAGCAAACAAGAAAGCAAACAAGAACTATTACATCATTTTATGATACAAAATTTAAAATGTTCCACCCGCAATAGTTGACATAAAATGAGAATCCTGTTTTAAAATAGCTAAATCAATTCATGGTAGTTTTACGGATGGGATCTCGGGATTCTA